TAACTGCCCACGTATGGTGCCGACACGCCCTCTCATATAAAAGTTCCATGGAAGGACATCCGTAAATGGACAAAGTCTCACCTTTCGATGGGCAGCAGTCTACTCCGCAAGTGTTGATGTATGGTTCTTCGGGAACGACTGGCTGAAATCCACAATCTTCATTTTTTTAAAATTTCAGGAAAACTTTCCATAATTTTTGAAATTCTGTCAAAGGATCTCGCCTTGCACTACGAATATTTCGCATTTATTCATGACTTGTTCGCAAAGCTATCAAAGATATCAAACTTCTTCAGGTTTTGCAATCAAAAGGATAGTCGGTTACAATATTTCAGTAGTGGGACTTAAATATGAAGGTTGATGCTATGTAATCTTATAGTAAAAAGAGTACCCAAAACGCCTTAAATAAGGCTCTTTTTTGTAGCTGATGTATAGTATCAAAGAAGACTATGGCTCGAGTAGGGTGTGTGTCTAAGTGAGAAACCCAGACGACGAGGGCACGAGGTAAGATAGAGATGAGGGAGACGCATACAGGAAGAGGGTGTCAGGGAATGCGCGCCTGCCAACGTTTTGTGGCCTACTTAGCGTCGTTCCTGAACGACCTTCGGGTGCAATGATAGCAAATATCGACTCCTCAAGCACTGAACCCCATGATTAGTCTGGCACACTCAACTAAGCTTTGTGCCTTTGAAGCGCGAGTGTGATTCTGTGAATGTGAGAAGCTAAACTGATTTACCACAGGGCCACACGAATGCCGTCCCTTGATGACGGTCGATGTGAATCCAGGACAGCACGACAAACGAGGGAAGTAGCACACGTCGGTGTTGCAGGGAGTTGATATGGTGGTAGCTCCACTGGAAACAGGAAACGTGCTAGTGTACATTTACTACTAAGAACTGTGATTGCTCTTGATAAACGTACTTGCAAGGGCAGCCATCAGCTTCGGACAGACAGGTTCTAGTTTTCGGTCAACATTTCCACATGATCCACAGTAGTCTGAACATTGTTCAGGTGTCTGTGTCCACTCGGACCATATTCCGTTATCAGGACAACATGTGTTGTTACAGTACGGATCAACCGGTGCCAGAGGTGTTGTGTAATTTGGCTGAATCTCGTTAAATTTAGACTAAAATTTCCGGTTACAAAGCGTTAGACTATACCTGTGGTCCGCATGCATGCTTTCCGTCTATGATCGCTGATGAGTACGGCGAACAGCAAGAGTCTCTTGGGAAATAGCACACACCGATATTACAGTTCTTCGTTCGTGTTGCAGGGCCCCTGAATTCAATATTAGCCTGGTAATCTTTTTTTCTGCAAAACAGCTGCTCTTCAAATGAAGATGAAAAATACAGGTGGAGTGGAACGAAAGAAAGGAGAGAAATTTGGGAGAATCACGCCGTCAGCGCAATAGAAATGTGCAATTTCTACATCTTGTTACTGTTGAGCTCACCTAAATAGGTGTTAGACTTCGCGACCGCAATGCCAGAAGCGCGAGCGACAGGAAGCCCGTTGCGCGGCGAGAAGGCAAAGACGCAGACGGGTCAGCGGACGAGTCGCAGCGCGTGCTGTAGTTATTCAGATAAATAGAATGTACTATAGCAC